GTGTGTGTGTGTGTGTGTGTGTGTGTGTGTGTGTGTGTGTTGAGAGGACAGCTTTCAGAAGCCAGTTCTCTTCCTTTCACCAAGGGGTTCTTTGGATAGAATTCAGGTCCTCGGGCTTGGCGGCGGGCATCTTTACCTGCTGAGCCATCTGGCTGGCCCCATTAGTTTTAAATCAATACTATCCATTAAAACTTTCTCAAATGATGGAAATGTTCGATAATCTGCACTATTCAAAAATGGCAGTCATTAGCCGCACATAGCTGTAGAGTACTTGAAGTGCCAGTACAAGTAAGGAATGGCATTTTTAATTCCATTTGACTCTAATTGTTTTAAATTTATATAGCCACGGCGGCTTGTACTTATACTGGACAACTTAAAACTTTGCTTCCTTAAATGTAATAAGAGATACAGTTGTTTGTTTTGTGACACTTAATGGAATTTAACATGCAAAACCATAATATTTAGCTGGGCATAGTGCTGGTCTTTAATTCTGAATTCATACTCAAGAAGCTGAGGCAGGAGAATTGTGAGTTTTAGGCTGTGTGGGCTACACTGCAGAATCATGTTCCATAAACAACAACAGATCTGTCTGTGTGTGTGTGTGTGTGTGTATAATTATTTAAAAAGATAGATTAATATTAATATAGAGCTGAGATAACTTTAAGTGAAATATGCATATCTACCTTATGACTGACTCTTAAGTTTATTTTGTGTGAAACAAAAGTCATCCCCCAAATCGTACAGGGCCCAGAGTGGCGCTTACATTTTCCAGTCTGCTGCAGAGGCCAGTGTTGTTTTGTGTTTGTTTGATGACCCACATTTTATTTCTATCACTTGTTTTTGGCCTCCAGATGAGCGCTCTAAATCAGCAAGTTTAGCAGTCATGCCTATTCTGACAATTCTGTTCTTGAGTATCATGGTTTATTGTCCTACCTAGTCTCAGAACACTTAGGAAAAAAATATTAACCTTAGAGATGAATAAACTCAAGCTGAGCCTCAATTTGCTTGACTCAGGTTGTTCCATTTTGATGCATTGGCAGTTTGGTAGAAAGTGAGAGCTGGTGGGTTAGAGCTGACCCATCTAAGGCCCTTGTGGGGAATTATACCTGGTACAGGAAATAATTTGTTCTTAAATTAATTTCTGTTTTTAAATTAATTTTAAAAATGGTTTTTAGGAAATAATTCTGAAACTTAAAGTGCTTAATGGTTTTCCCTGATTCTCTATATTTCCCTAAGTTTTGAGAGCATGTCACAGGAACATGTAACCTTCATGAATAACAAAAGCTTACTTTTATGTAATTTTCAGACCAGATTTATACATCTGGCCAATGTCTGAAGTTGTAGCTGTTTGGATTGTTAATTAACTAGTTAATTGATTCTGAGATAGGCTCTCATCTGAAGCCTACAGTATGTTGGGATTCCCTCTGGAGTCCAGGCTGGCCTCAGATTCACGGTGCAGCTTCCCTTCTCAGCATTGTGAGTGAGGGGTTACAGGCATGGACTATCATGCCCAGTTTCTGCAGTGCTAGGGATTGAAGGCAACACTCTGTCAACAGAGCTACATCTCCAGCCTTTGGGCCAATCTTAAAAAACAAACTAACAACTAAAACAAGCTCTTAGTCATTATATAGCAGTACAAGTGCCTTTTCCTAACTAAAAAATGGGAGGTGGTATTTGACTTTAATAATAATGATATGTTGTTTTATATCTTTAGCTAACCTATATTCCATTTTTGACTAATTCTTAACCTTTTCCTCGTTGTTTTCTCTGGTCTGATGGCACCATACCTCTGCTGTTTTGTCAGAAAGTCAAGAAGGAGAATGAATAAACAAAACAGAAACTTTGATGATTTAGTGTATCTGTTTATTGCTAATCACTCAGTAAGTGGAGAATAGGAGTTTTGTTTTCTAGTCTATCTGCCTAGACCTTTCCCAGTGGTTTTCCCTTTTTCTTTTAAAAGAACAAAAGTGAAATTTCACTGGTTAAGGATTTCAGACTTTTATTGCCATTTAGGTCAGCAAATGCCTGGCCAAAGTTAGGGATGTGTCAGGCATTAGGAGTCTTTATCAGGAAATGAAGACCCAGAGAAACGTTAGTTTGTTCTCTGTCTCTCTCCCTGTCTCTCCGTCTCTCCTCCCCTCCCTCCCTCCCTCCCCCTTTCTTCCTGTGTGTGTATGTCAGAGGACAACTTTATCGAGTTGTTTCTCTCCTTTCACTTTTTATGTGGTGGTGGCTTCTAGAGATTGAACTCGGGTCCCCAGGCTTGCACAGTTGAGTTCTTCACCTGCTGAGTGTATCTCGCTGACCTCTTTAGGGTTTTCCATTATAGCAGCGCTGACGAACAGCAGGAGAGGCAGGGAACATAGACATGGACAAAGAGGACAGGATGTCTTGACAATCGACTGGGACAACTTACAAGGCTGCCTTGTTCAGCTGCTTTGAGTCTTCAGAGAGTGCCCTTCCTGTTTAGGGAGGCACCCTTCACTTCAGGGTCTACATGATCTGCTTCAGGGAAGGCCAGAGCACCTGTTTTAGGGCAGAAAGGCCAGATGAAAGCTCAAGAGACCTTCCTGTGTAGGCTTTTGTTGCCGGTAGCCCACCAGAGAAGACCGTTCAGACAGAGTGGATAGCCTATTGAAAGTCTTTATTCCAGCTTCTAGAACTCTCAGGTATTCAGGACCCCAGTATAACCCAGAGATTTTAGAGCAAGAGGCTTTCAGAAGCAAAAACCACATCCGGTTATCTTGCTCCACAGCTGCAGGGGGAGGTTTTGCACAAGCAAGCAGCTTAACAAAAACTAAGATGAGCAGTTATGGAGGGAGAGGTTTGTATAAGCATGCAGTTGTTTAACAGAAGCCAAGATAAATTAGCTGGGGTATCTTGGCCTTGGTTCCTAGAATAGAGTTGGGTAACTTTCCATGGGATTTGCTATCAAGGAGATCAAATTCTAGTCACACCTAAAATGGTCTCATCAAGAATATGAGATGGAGGAGCCTCAGCACTGTCTTGCCCTGTCACACTACCTCAGATTCCTTTACTTTCAAATGTTCACTATGCCAAGGTGCCATATTTTGGAGTAATGTGTCCTGAACCCTCTCATTGCCAAAGAAAATCGTTGTCATCAGAGCAATGAAAAATGAAAAAAAAAATCCAGCATTGAACTAACAGGTTATGAACTTGGGAGCAGATTGACTTCAGTAGGAACAAGACAATGTGGTGCTCAACCTCAGATAGACTGAGATTTAGTCCCTTGTTGTTGTTTCTTTTTTACTCTTTTAGGGGGCCCACCACCCAGATCCCAAATAAATCACAGATGGAGGCTTATTCTTACTTATAAATGCCCGGCCTTAGCTTTCCTTAACTTATCCCATCTACCTTTGGCCTCTGGGCTTTTCCCGTTCTCTTCCTTCCGTAAATCTTACTCTTACTCCATGGCTTGCTGTGTAGCTGGGTGGCTGGCCTCTGGAGTCCTCCTCCTTCTCTGGCTTCTTCCTCCCTTTTCTCCCAGAGTTTTCCTTCTACATAGTCTCTCTGCCTGCCAGCCCTACCTGTCCTTTCTCCTGCCTTGCTATTGGCCATTCAGTTCTTTATTAGACCATGAGGTGTTTTAGACAGGCACAGTAACACAGCCTCACAGAATTAAACAAATACAACATAAACAAAAGTAACACACCATAAAAAATATTCTACAACAGTCCCTAGTCTAGATTGACATGAAATAAAGGGATCCATCCTCTATGCTTTTCTTTCCCTTAAAAATATTGTTTTGAAGGGTTCTGGCTATGATCTTCTGGCTCCATTGCTTTTGGTTCTGTGGTAAGGCAAAACACCATGATGGGGAGCACATGGTAAAAGAACACTGTTTATATTATGGTGGCTAGGAGGCAAAAAGGGCAAAGAGGGCCCCTTCAAGGTGTGTCCAAAGTGGCCTCATTTCCACTTGTCTCACTTCTTTCAGAAATTTTTTTGTGCGCACGTGTGTGTGTGTGTGTGTGTGTGTGTGTGTGTGTGTGTGTGTGTGTGTTTTATGTATTTGTACACATATCTGCCACAATGCTGAGAGTGGAGGTCAAAGGACAACTTTTGGGAGTCAGTTATCTGGGTATCACTCAGGTCTTAAGGTTCTATGTACAGAAAGTGCTTTAACCAACTGAGCCATCTTGGTGGCCCACTTTCTTTATAACATAATTAAAATTAAACAAAATTTTAAGGTTACCCTAGAAGTATGTGTAAGTATGTATCGAATACTGGAAGTACCCCCTTTCTATCCTCACTCTCCTTTCGCTTGCCCCTTCCTCCCATTGGTCATGCTCATCCCCCTAGACAGTTTTACTTCTTTCATGTCATATAGACATGCATGATTTTATGTATTTTCTGTAAAATCATAGGAATCTCAAACAAGATAAAACATACAAAATTTGTCTTTTTGAGACTGGGTTAATTCTCTGCATATGATCATCTCCAGTTGCATATATTTTCCTGCAGATGACATGACCTTTTTTGGAGACAGGTTTTCACAATAGCCCACCTAGGATGGCCCAGAACTCTTTGGCAATCCTCCTGCCTCAGCCTCATAAGTTCTGGGATTACAAGTGTGAGCTACCACTCCTGGCCTCAGGCTTTCATATGAAATCAGATTGTTAATAGAACTCCTGGAGTAGAAAGCAAGCCGCGGGCACAGGGCAGGCAGCAGAGCAGTCAAGGCTTTGTGGAAGTGGACAGCTGATCTGTAGTCTTTGATTTATACATTTCAACCTATGAAACACTGTCCTAAATGCTCTAAGAACAACTAACCTACGACTTGTGATGAAGGTATGCAATCCGTTGCTGTGAGCAAAGAAGGACCATTGCATGTGGTTAGACTACAAAATGATCATCAAATATTCTTAGTATTTCCTCTACATGGATCTTAATTATGGAACAGGTTTGGAACTAAAACTTGACGAATTATTTGTGGCATTTTTTCACATCTTGCTGAGGGACTTTTCTCTGTTTTCTAGTGATGTATACAGTGATGTCAGTGATGACAGCTATTCCGAGGCAAAGCTGGCTGAACTGGAAATCAACTGAAGTTCTTTCTTGCCTCAGGCCACCTGAGAGGGTAAGGAAGCATTTTGGAGGATTATTTGTTTGTCTCACAGGAAGCTGGCATCCTGGGGAGCATTATAGGACTTGGTTCCCAGGGTCCTTCTCAGTCCAGATTTAGCCTTGGTACTGTTAAGAGACAGTATTTGGGAGAAAAGGCATACATCTGAGGCCAGGAATGAGCATACCGGTACCTGTAAATTACTGGGTAGAATTGTAATAGTCTATGTTGGAGATTGACCAGAAAACATTGTAATGCCAGATAGTATTTTATGCTTATGGGCTTGTCATAGCTATTGCAGTGAGAAGGCAGGCATAGGCAATATAGAAACAAATGGACATAGTTGTGTGCCAATACAACTTTATTTACAAAAAACGACTTGCTAATTGTGTACATGTTACATGTTTATAATGCCAGCACTCAGGCAGTGCAGTTCAAAATAATCCTCAGGTACACAGTGACTGGATTATATTAGATTCTATATTAAAAACAAAAACAACCCCCCAAACCTACTTTCTGAATAAATTGTAGTTATCCATGTATGAAAAGGTCAAATCATAATTAAAACCACTGATTTGTGTGCTATCTAATTTTTCCTTTCTTTTTAAATGATACCCTTGGGCCAGTGAGACGGTGTTGCAGGTAAAAGCACCTGCTATGGCGGCCTGATGACTTGAATCAGTCCCCAGACCCCATGTTGGAGGGACAGAGCTGATACCTGGAATTTGTCCTCTGACCCCCACACGCATGCTATGGCACGGCTATGCTTTCTCTGTCTCTCTCTAACATTAATACAATACATATTAGTGAAAATAAAATTAAAAACAAAATGGGGGGCTAGAGAGATGGCTCAGTGGTTTAAAGTGCTGGCCAGAGGACCCAGGTTTGGTTCTCAGCACCCACATCGTGGCTCATGACTATCTATAACTCCAGTTCCAGGCCATCTGGTGCCTTTTCCTGGCCTCTGTGGGCACCAGGTATGTACATGGTGATAAGTATACATACAGGCAAACACTCATCACAGAAATGAAATCAATAAATCTCCAAAAAGTTTTTAAAAATTCAACAAAATAAAACAAAAGACCATCTTGCTGAATGTGTTATAGGCCACTCATCTCAGGGCAGATTCTCTTGACTTTGTATAAAATAAAATATGATTGGGGCTGGAGAGATGGGTTAAGTGTACTTGTGGCTCTTATAAGGAGGGGCCTGGGTTCAGTTCACAGCACCCATATTGCAGCTTGCAACAATCTGTACCTCTGGTTCCGGGGGATCTGATGCCCTCTTCTGGCTTCTGAGAGCACCAGGCACACATGCAGCATGCATACATACATGCAGGCAAAGCACTCAAACACGTAAAATAAATCCAAGAAATAAAAATTATAGAGTAGAATTGTTTCTTTGCAAGAAGAGGCTAGAGACAGGATTGGTGTTCGAGGGCAGCTTATTTCCTCTGTTACTATATTTTGTATTCTAAGAGAAGACAGCATCATGGATAGTGTTAATAAGTTTTTGCTTGGAGCCAGATGCCACTTGGGATGACCCTAGAGGTTATGGCAGGCCTGGGGTTGGATATGCTAGTATTTAGTTAGAATAGCAACTTTTGGACAACTCGTCAAGAGTTCACTGCTCTATTCAGCTGGGGCTGTTGCTCAGTGATAGAGTGCTTGGCTGGTTTGCCTGGGGCCCAAGTTCAATGTCCAGAATTGCAAAAAAAAAAAAAAAAAGAACCACAAAGAGTTGTATCGCTCTACTATGAGCTCTCTGTAGATATTTCTGTTTATCTGAAACTACTGTGTGTCATAAATGGGGTGAGCTCAAACTAAAATGCTGTAAAGATTAACAGGGATGATTTTAAAGGAGCTTATTATTCACTTTTTGATGTAACTAATACTTACCTTTTTTTTTTTTAGGCCTCTGAAGTAATTATACTTAAGATGAAAGAATTATCTGAAGAAACCACCACACTGTTCCCTAGACATGGGCCATGAAGATTCAAAGGGAATCAGAAAATGTTTACTTCATGAAACAGAACCAAAGGGATCCTTTCCTTTTCCCTCCAGAGGCAGCCTGTAGTAGTCGTCACACTTTGCTATACTTAATTAAACTTCGTTCAGCAGCATCCTGGCACAGAAAGTGTTTCTGTGTTTTGTCCAGAGCATGGTGAGGTCAAAGTGGGAAGCAGGAACTGGGGAGACTTCGCCTTCCCGATATTGTATGGGAAAGGTGGCAGGCATGTGCTATAGCCAGTTTCGGGTTTAAAAACGAGTTATTCTTTTGCCTGGATATGAAGTATAGCTTAATGTGGGAGTTAAGGTGATTTGGGTTTCTCATTCTGTTTATTTCCAGTTAGAGGTGAAATTTAGCAGGCGCAGACCTTGGGGTTGTGAGTCTGTTATCTCACAGACAAAGTGTAAAGGGGATCTGAGACCTCAGGAACCAGGATAAGGAGGGCCCAGTTCCATCTCTTCAACTTGCTGTCTTCAAGTGGAAGGAGCAAACCCAACTCCCACAAGTTGTCTTCTGACCCCTGCATGTGCACACACACAGACACCAAAAAATGTAAAAAATGTAAAAATTCATAATCTTCTTTCTTTTTTAATTAAATTTACTTTTTATTATTCTTTCGACAGCTTCACAAATGTATAGACTCAATCTTTGGTCATTTTTATCCTTTATTACACTCTCTCATTTCATGCTTCTTCTCATGCCTTTTTTGTTGTTTTCAGTTTTTGTGACCACTGTCTTTTTTTCTTTTTGAGACAGCATCTCGTACTGTAGCCCAAGCTGACCTGGAATTCACTGTGTAGCCTACTATATAGTCTTGAACTCACTGTGATTCTCCGGCCTCAGCCTCCCAAATGTTAGGATTATATGTATGAGATATTACACCCTGCTAAACATCAGCAATTTTTTTTTGAGACAGGGTTTCTCTACATAGCCCTGGCTGTCCTGGAATTCACTATTTAGAGCAGGCTGGCCACAAACTCACAAAGATCTGCCTGCCTCTGCCTCTAGATTGCTGGGGTTAAAAGTGTGCACAAACATGCTTGGCTAGCAATTTTTTATAGCAAAAAAACTATTTTAAGTTAATTGTACAGTAGCATTCACTCATACTGTACAGCTATTAGCTTTATGTAGTTATTCCACAATTAACCCCTGTTCTCATTAGCAGTCACTCCTCATCCCCTGGCAACTGTTAGATCCAGATTGATTGAGGCAAGTTGGGAATAAAAAAGCGCAGACCAGCCTTTACACGAGCAGAATTATTCTTTAACCAGAACAACTGGAGGACATCAGTCTCTCCTTGGGAGACTGCACATGCACACATGCACATGCACGATGTGGTACAGAAGGGTTGGGGATTTTATGGGACAGAAAAGAGGACTTTGGGGATGGAAGATTCCACCTGCAGATCAGTTCCCCTTGGGATGGAAGACAGCATCTGCAGATCAGTTCCCCTACAGTCTCAAAGCGGTAGATGGCAGAGGGGTTAGTATGCTGATCCTCCTATCAGAGTCCTGGGTCCTAACAGCCCACAGGTATTACTAGTCAAGTCAGCTGTTCAGTCTAGAGTTTCCCCGCCCACCCGAGGCTTTTGTTCGTGTGTTTTGTCATTAGCTCTTCAGCAGCCTCCAGTCCCTTTTTGGATAGCGTTTCCTACCGTAGTAGTTCATAAAGTGAAAGTGTATGGTGTATGTGCCCCTTTGTGTCTGGTTTCTTTCGTTGACCTTAATCTTGTCAAGGCTTACCCAAATGGTAGCATTCCTTTTTATGACTCAATAAAATTCCGTTGTATATATTTGCCAGTTTATTCATTGTTGATGGGCCCTTGGCTAGTTTCCACCTTTGGTCTTTTGTGAATAGTGCTACCAGGAATCATCATGCGTAAATATTTGTTGTGAATATGTTTTTAGTTCTGAGTATCAACCTAGGAGTAGGATTGCTGTGGTATATGCTATTTTTAACTTTTGACAAAGAATCGGTATTACTTTAATTCAACATTTTTTAGTGAGCAACTTTTTTAGATTAAAAAGTTTATGTGTATGAATGTTTTGCCTGCATGTATGTATGTATGTGCACCACATGTGTACCTGGTGCCCACTGAAATCAAAAGAGGACATAAAATCCTATGGAACTGGAGTTACAGATTGTTGTGAGCCATCATGTCCAAAATAGGAATCGAATCTCAGTCCTCTGGAAGAGCAATGAGTGGTCTAAACTCCTGAGCCATCTTTCCAGTCCCCTAATTCAATGTTTTTTAAAATTCAAAATTAATTAAAAAAACACAGTGAACAAAGTAACAACTTAACTTTTAAAACAGAATCTGTAGCACTGGAGAAGTGGCTGAGTGGCTAAGAGTACTTACTGCTCTTCCAGATGAGCCAAGTTTGGTTCCCAGTGTCCACATTGAGCAGCTTGCAAATGCCTGAAATTCTATCTCTAGGGGATCCAGTTACCCTCTTTTGGCATCCATTGGCACCTGCATCCATGTGGCATACACACACACACACACACACACACACACACACACACACACACACAAATAAAAATATGTACAAATAAAGGAATAATCTAGACTCATACCTCCCTTACCTGCCATTCCTGGTCTGAGTGCTCATAAATGTATAAAAACACAGTTTGTGCCTCAAAAGAGAAAACGTAATTTCTTCAGGAGCCAAATATGAGTGACCATGGCCCAAGAACACAAATTTAAGTTACCCCAAATTCCATGTTCCAATGTAATAACTTTCATAAAGTTTTTATAGTAACAGAACAAAGAAAATAAGACACTTTTCCAATACATGGGTGGAAACATCAGGCAGGCAGGTTTCAGAAAAGCAGGGAAACATCTGCTCTATGCCTGATGACATTCGTAGATTTTAGATTGGTGGAAGCTAAGGTTCTGTTTGTACATTCCAAGTGGATTTACCTAATAGTCACAAGGATGTTAGGTCATACACAAAGGAAGGCAATATGTTGCTATTTAGAGGTCTAAAACATCCCAAGATAACCTGGTTGTTGACCTGAAACATTCCAGTTTCTTCACAACTATTGAAGTTCAGTCTTGTGGAATGTTCTTTGTAGGTGTGGCTTTTTTCTGGGAACTTCAGATATCTTAGACCCACCATATGGATGCTGTTAATCCCAAAGATATGATGACCACCGACTCAAATCATCATGGCCAAATTAATTAGAGCAAGCAGTTTTTATTTTATTTTATTAAAGCAAGCTTTTTTATTCATGTACACAGACTGCCTCTGCCTAAGGCAGGATTCAAGAGGTCAGCCTTGGACATGAGAAATACAAGGTTTTCATAGCTTAGTGGTAGGGAGTTTCCAAATGGGGGATTTGGTGGGCAAAATTTATGAGCAGAACATAAGCATACCAAGTTAGTCCTAATGGCAAGTTAGTCCTAAAGACATGGTTGCAAGGTGGGCATAGCAAGGTAGTCATGACAACAGGCAGCCATAACAATGTAGTCATAACAACCCATTTGAAATACAGGTAGGATTGCAAGATAGCTATTAACTTTTTGAAACAAAGGCATGATTGCCATTTCCTGGAACAGGCAGTACAGAACCGTTTGTTGTTAAGGTTACAGGTGAGGCATAGCCCCATGCTTGAGAAACAGGTTGAATCATAAACAGAAATGAACCTAGTTTGTCTTTACTATAAGAAGGCTTTTAAGCCTTAGATGGAGGCAGGCTAGTTTATCACAGCAAGTGCTCTTTATCTGCTGAACCATCTTTCCAGTCCCACACATACTAATTTAAATATTTTAACCTCTTGCTTTTTTTGGGTGGTTCTTGTTTGCCTTTTAAGCATTTCCTTTTTAATACTATAAGGTTCCACATCATTATTTTGCAAGATGCCACAGAAATCTCAGCTACCCAACACATGGAAAACATGGAAACAAATCTTTGTGGTAAAAATAATATTAAATTGCTTCAGTGTTCCATTTGTGAAAATTATAGCAATAAGACCACTAGAGGCTCTGAATGAAAAGCCCAGGTTAAAAGCTGCAATAGGCCTAGCTGAGAGAGAAGAATGTACTCACAAAGGGGAAACTTTAACATCACAAAGGGTAGGCTGGTTTAAATGGACATTTTCAATTTTAATGATCCTGATTTTTCAAGTCACTTAACAACTGAGTGCTTTTGCTGGGCCTAATGAGGCAGTAAGTAGGACCAGAAGGAAGGACACTTAAGAAACAACCACCTTCTTGGTTATTGTCATGTGATTGTGTGAGTGTGTGTGTGTGTACTTTAGGAGACTCCTCCTGAACTTATCTCGCAAAGAATAGAACAAATACCCAAGTGACTAAGTTTGCTTTCTGTCACTGTGGTAAAACACTGACCAAAAACAACTTTGGGAGGAAAGGGTTTGTTTATTTGGATTACAGGTTACACTCTTTTACTGAGAGAAGCTGTCAGAAGGTTTCTATTGCTGTGAAGAGACACCATGGCCATGACAACTTTTATAAAGGAAAACATTTAATTGGGTGTAGAATGAATCTTAAAAATTCTTATTAATAAAATCAAACCTGAGCTGGGTATTGGTGAATGATCTGAATGATCAGAGAGACAGAACCAGCCACAGTTACCTCACCTCGCCAATTCCTCAGCTGATCCTGTTTCCTCACACTGGAAGCCTCTGAGTCCTCATCCGAATGGATCTCAGCTGAACTGCTGCTCAAAAGCCTAAAAACTTAACCTGCCAAATGTTTCTAGTTTCTGGTCTTCATGCCTTATATATCTCTCTGCTTTCTGCCATCACTCCCTTGGATTAAAGGCTGGCTCACTTTCTGGGATTAAAGGCGTGTGCTACCACTGCCTATCCTCTATGTTTAATATTGTGGCTGTTCCACTCTCTGACTCCAGATAAGTTTAGTAGCATGCACACTATTTCGGGGAACACAATACCATCACAATTGGGTGGTTTACAGTTCAGAGGTTTAGTCCATTATCATCATGGCGGGACCTGGTAGCATGCAGGCAGCATGTTGCTGGAGAAGGAGCTGAGAGTTAACATCTTTTTATTTTATTTTTTTTAAAGATGTATTTATTTATTATGTCTACAGTGTTCAGCCTGCATGCTTCCCTTCAGGCCAGAAGAGGGCATCAGATCTCATTACAGATGGTTGTGAGCCACCATGTGGTTGCTGGGAATTGAACTCAGGACCCTTAGAAGAGCAGCCAGTGCTCTTAACCGCTGAGCCATCTCTCCAGCCCCGAGAGTTTACATCTTGATCTGCAAGCAACAGGAAGTGAACTGTGTCACTGGGCATAGCTTGAGCATAGGAGACCTCAAAGCCCATCCCCACAGTGACACACTTCCTCCAAGAAGGCTACACCTACTCCAACAAAGCCACACCTCCTAATAGTGTCACTCCCTATGGGGGCTGTTTTCTTTTAAACCACCACAGTAGCCAAGGCAGGAACTGAAGCTGAGAATACTGGAGGAATGCTGCTTACTGACTTGCTTTTCATGGCTTGCTCAGCTTGTTTTATACAGTCCAGTACCACCTGCCCAAGGTTGGCACCACCCACAGTGGGATGGGCCCTCTTACATCAATTACCAAGAAAATGCCTCACAGACATGCCCACAGGCCAATCTGATGGAAGAAAAGAAATTCCTCAATTGAGGTCCTCTTCCCAGGTGACTCTAGTTTGTGTGAAATTGACATAAACTAACCAGCCCAGGCGGGAACACCTAGAAAGTTACTCTAAATCGTTCACTCAGCAAGTCACCTTTTTATTGACATAAAGTCATAAAGTCAATGTACACAATACTGGCTTTCATATATGTGTAAAATGTATTTTGACCATATTCCTACCCTTTACCCCTTCAGTCTTCCCTGTAAGAAATTGTTCTTTCTATCAAAGACAGCCCTACTGGAATACACATTTCTGGAACCTCCCCCTTTCTCCTTGCATCTGTTGGCCAGTTACCTCAAATTGTGAAGCCAAGCTTCCACCAATGGTATGAGACTCACTCACCACCTAAGTTAGGGATAAAAGACAGAAGCCATCTTGGTCAAGTGTGCTTGTTAGGCTATTGTGTGTTCTGGGCACACTCTTTCTTCAAAAAGAATTGCCTTGCCAGGCTACTTTCATTTGGTTCGTGTGTGACACTGGGGTTATTTCTTGTTTCTAACATTTCCTTTCTCTGCCCTCCCATTAGTTCCCCGTGTTTCCTTATAGTTTCCCTTCTCCTTTCGTGTCACATAAGTATACACGGTTTTATGTCTCTCTATAAAATATAGGATCCAAAAGTGAAGGAAAATGTGGTGCTTATCTTTCTAAATCTGACAATTCACTTAATAATTTCTAGGACCACCGCGATGGCTCAGTGGATAAAGGCACCTGCTGGCACACCTGCTGACATGAGGCCCTTTCTCCTAATAAAGCTCGTTGCTGAAGGGTGATTTGTGTCGGCTCCTTTTCCAAGCCCACCCATCATGCGGCTGCTCTTCTCTGAAGTCTAACAGGGTTATTATACAAGGAGTATTTAGAAGCTGCTTTTGTGAAAATGCTCTGACTGTTCACTTGGGCCCACAAAATGGCTGCAAGCAGGATCAAAAACCTGGCATCTCCAATGCCTTCCATTTGCACCCGTCTCCACTACTTTGGGCCAGATTCTTGCTCAACTCTGCACATAGCGCCAAGGGTGCTTATTTAGGAATGAGTGGTACCTAATTTATTTTATGTTGTAGAATGTTATTTTAACTGTGTAAATGTGTGTTACATGTGTTTCTGCTACTTTTGTTAATGATACAAAGACATGTTACATTTTTTG